CCTACACAAAAGGGTCTTTTCCCAGGTATCTCCATAGACTACAAGAACTATTAAGTGTACCTATCATTACCAGCTGCCCTGGGAGCAAAGTAGGAATCAGTCTTTTCAACTCATATATCATGCTTTTTGAGCATAAATCAGATTTCTGGGACCTAAATGAAATGTCAGAAACCAGCACAGTGACCACCGTAGACAAAAGAAATTAAGCATTTCAGTAGGCATGAAGTTGAAAGCTTGTTACAACTAAATACTAAGCTGAAGTCTTTCCAGGACTACATCAGGGAGAATCTGTCAAGATCAATTTCCTCATGATAAATCATGGACTTGGAAGCAAGTTGTGAGCACTGGCCAGATAAATCCTCATTCATATATCAATGGTTGAGCATACACTTCATCATAACAGCACTACAAACACACAACAAAACCATAACAGTGAAATTTTGCTGAGATAGAAAACACGTGGACTAATGACTGATCCGTATCAGACCCAGACTTTTAAATTGCCAAAGGAACCATTTACAAGTCTGTTTTCTGTTATCACAAGAAAGACTTGCGCTTGCACCAAAATCAACCTGCAAAAGATGAATAAGGCATGAAGGAACTTTCTCAAAATCAAAGGAAAACCTTTGCTTATCAAGTAAATTTAGAGTTGAAAGTTTTGAATAAGTCCACATTCTGCAGAATGTCTCAATTCCATTGACACAGCATTTCTGATGCATTTATTTTGACTGCAAGGTTGTTAACCCGCTCTGTTTGGGAGACTCCATGAATCAGTGCCACCATGTGGCACTACCAGAACAATAATAATAGAGAGAGAAATTAAAGTGATTGATTATGTTTAAGAAAAAATGGTGTTATTTTGAAAGGAGAAAGACTTAAAATTTATGAAGAAGCCTTAAGATATGTATGTAGATTTCATGCATTTTATACTTCTCAGTGGGCATGTCTACATGTGACACTACATCACTGTAGCAATGCACTATGGCGACAGCATCTGCAGGCAAAAACTGTGACCGCCACTAAGTTGCTGTAGCAACACACTCCCTTGGTATAGTGTATTGCTACAGTGACATAGCAGCTAAAAATAACCATGCGCTGCCAGCATGGCACAATACAGGCACAACACATTAATACATGCATTAATCCATATCATAGCCAGTCTGGAAGCTTAGTCCATACTGGCTATGTCTACAATGATGGCTAGGACTGACCTTAGGGCCAACATCAAGCCCATACCCACCACCTGTCAACACTCAAAACCAGTAAATTCAAATGTCAGCAGCAATCCAGCATGACTCAAGCAGCTCTGGTGAACTTTGAGCTTCAATCTGCTGCCAACTATGTCACAACTTACTGCTCCTGAGTTCAAAATAACCCTTAGGGTTGGCCTAAATTTCTGTGTATTTGTGCCAATGCGCTCTCACACTCAACAAAACCACTCGGAGTAATGAGAGAGATATGTCTAGATCCAATAAAGGGTAGATATACAAGTTAAATACCGCAACATCTAACTTCTAGGCACTTGGCCTCCAGAATGATATCCAGAATCCTGAGTTAGGCACCTAGACTCCTTGTACAATGCATGGGCATAATTAAGCACCTCATAATGCAGTCATAAAACAAGGCAAGGAACCATCTAGAATTAGCCAACAGGGAACACCTGGCATTAATGACTGTTTTCTGAGAAGCCTGCATCCATCGTTTTAAAAAACATGAGTACAGTTCTCTGTTCTCTTTAATGAATTTCTAGAGAAGGAGGTGGTGCTATCATCCACCTTTGATATAATAGCCTATTGTTTAAGCACTTCCTAAGGAAGTGTCAGGACTAGGTTTAGTGCCCTCCTTAACCCAATGGGAATCAGATTCACACCTTATACCTCACAGGGAGTGTCTACACATTGCCATACTGTGACATTGCTATGGCACCATGCTTTAGTACTTATGTGCCACGCACGCAGCGCATGGTTAGATTTCACGACTATGTTGCCGTAGCAGCACATTATACCCAGGGAGCATGTCACTACGGTGATGTAGCTGGCGATCACCTATAGACACAAGTGATCGCTATGTCCCCATAGCATGCTGTATAGAAATGTAGCATGTTGCTATGTTCCTGTAGGGTGACGTGTAGATGTGCCCACAGGCGAGTACCCATACTATTATTCCGCAGGCTAACTATGTGGTAAACCTGTCCCATTGGACCATTAGATGTTCTGGTTTATATTTTGCTTTGCAAGTCCTGTGTCTTTTTAATATTATGAAGCAAAAAAAAATTATGCTAATTTATATCTAAAAGTTGCACATTTCTAATTGTATCATCATCATTAATATTATAACTTAAAATAAGGTAGACCTGCAGTGAAAGAGCAGATTGAAGAGTGAGCAAGTGATATAGCAATAAGGAGTAAAAAGGTTTAAAAGTATATAGGCCACATCCAAATATGCTTGGGTGTGCACTTGCAGTGGCACAGATTGCTGCAGCGCACACCCCTACACATGCACTTTGTTGAGGGACAAATTGTCCTAGATTCATAGATTCATAGATGCTAGGGTCGGAAGGGACCCCAATAGATCATCGAGTCCGACCCCCTGCATAGGCAGGAAAGAGGGCTGGGTTGCGATGACTCCCACTAGAAGGGTTCAGATGACTCCAGCTAGATGCCTATCTAACCTCCTCTCGAAGACCCCCAGGGTAGGGGAGAGCACCACCTCCCTTGGGAGCCCGTTCCAGACCTTGGCCACTCTAACTGTGAAGAAGTTTTCCTAATGTCTAGTCTAAATCTGCTCTCTGCTAGCTTGTGGCCATTATTTCTTGTAACCCCCGGGGGCGCCTTGGTGCATAAAACCTCACCAATTCCCTTCTGTGCCCCTGTGATGAACTTATAGGCAGCCACAAGGTCGCCTCTCAACCTTCTCTTGCAGAGGCTGAAAAGGTCCAGGTTCTCTAGTCTCTCCTCGTAGGGCTTGGCTTGCAAGCCCTTAACCATACGAGTGGCCCTTCTCTGGACCCTCTCCAGGTTATCCGCATCCCTCTTGAATTGTGGCGCCCAAAACTGCACGCAGTATTCCATCTGCGGTCTAACCAGTGCCCGATAGAGGGGCAGTATCACCTCCTTGGTCCTGTAATGGGCAAACTGCCTTGCCCAGCCGCTCCCAAGCTCTTCAGCCAGGGAGAGCTGGGGGCTGCTGCCAACACTCATGCTGGCTGTAGCAGTCTTATCTAGTCACCTGAAGTAGCAGGAGCACAGGTCAGACAGCATGAAGGCCTGGCCTCCGTGTGTTGCACCACCTTTTGTTCTGCTTGGGGGGCTGGGGAGAGAGGGTTTCTATCAGGAAATCCCAGTAGCAAATTTTGACCCTGCACTGCAAATTTGCAGCACGGAGCATGTTTTAACATTCACTGCATGTGGTTTCCAGTGCTACAGAGGTTTGCAACATCACAAACCACATGCCCCTGCATGTCTAGACGCGGCCATAGCGTATAAAAGGGGAGCAATAAATTCAAAGACGTATTTAAGAAATCAGAGTTTTGGATTTTGCCCTTCGGGAGGGAATCAGTGATTGGGTCATAATGCTGTGTATTTATCTGCAGAGGCCCTCAGGATAAATTCATATATCAGCAGCCATGAACCTGAAGTAGGCTACAGCAGTCCTGAAGGCTCTCACTCTAAATATATTTTGAGCCCAGATTAAGTCCTGAATTTGCATTATAGTTGGTAACCAACGCTATGTTGACCCAATTTTATTCTGGTATACAGGAGTGCTCACTTCATTAATGCTTGCATAGCTAAATATGTCCTAACCATATTAGCCAGGATGAACCTGATAATATTTTAAGAGATAAGCTATTTGATTCAGTAGTTGTTACAGGTTTTTTATGTACAGAATGTGCAGGAAATATAAATATTATACAGGTTTTTAAATGAATTGCTTAGACTAGTAGAGAAGCTTATTTTATATTTGGAGTAAATTAAATTTTCCTTAATAGTTGTGTATTCCGCTGTTTATGCAATATAACATTGAGTAATAGTTCCAGGTTTCTTATTGTACCAGATAAATATTATTTGATTTTTCCATGATGGTCTTATAAAACCTTTAAATATGATGTCAAAAGAGATTAAATTAGAAAAGAAATCTAATAATTTATTTCCTACCTATGGGGACTTTTTAACATCTTTAATTTTCCCACAGCCTGTGAAGGGCCTTTGAGCCCGAAAGCTTGCAGAAAAAGAGAATTTTGGGGGAATTTTCCTAGTTGGTCTAATAAAAGTTATCATTTCTGAACCAAGAGTTCTAGATTTTGCTTGTCTAGATTGATTATTGTTTTTATTGATTATTGGTTATTGTTTATTGCTTATTGTTAGGTTGTTTGTTGTTAACAGTAAAGCAGAAATATTAAATAAATATTTGGATATTTTTTAAATTGAACTCATTACTTTTATGAATAATATTCACAATCTTTCATAAATTTCTCTCTCTAGTGTTTGATGGTGAACATGGTACTTTCCTACTTTCATTCCTAGTGTTTAAACACCATTATTTACTCATCAATTTTACCAGAGGAGAAAGGGAGTCTATACAGTTAGTGACCTTACATACAGATTACCATACAATAAGCTGCGTTACCTAAAGCAGAACTATATGAGATTTTCAAAAAAATTGTGGGATTTTAGTTGTATGACTGATATCAATTCTAATGGAAACTTCAGTGTTAAAATCCTACTTACGTGTTTTAACATGAACAGATCATTTTTGCTTCACCTTACTCACTAATTTGCATATGTCAAGAAGATTTTTTATTCATTTTAGAGATTTACACTTAGGCTGTTCATTTTGATTTTGGGTATCAGCCTATTCCAAATAAGTCAGGAGTGTTGGAACTTAATCTATCTTGCTAATATATCTTTTTTTTATAAGTGCATATAAGCTTACTTTATGATACTAAAATGGCATACAAAACAGTACTATAATTTTCTTGAATATGTTATCTTGTCTTTCAGGGCCAGAAGGAGCTCTTTTTGAACATTCTGTTGAGACGCCACTTGTCAGAGCTGAGGCTTTTAAACAGCTTAGGTAAGAATTCCTGCAATAAAATAAATCTGTCTGATAAGCAGAATAGCATTTCCTAGAGCTATGCACACATTTGAGTAAACATAAATTAAGGAGACTCAACATTATGTAATAGCTGGTAATATTCTCTTTTCCTCCTATTTTATGTTTCAGTTTATGAATTATTATGTCAATTATAAAATTATATGCTGTTCTGTGATTTTGAGGATTTGTGTATGAAGTTATGAGATTGATACATCTTGATGCAGTGTGCTAAAGATGTTTATCTAATGTATCACCTCACTGTAATTTAAGAAAAATAACACTGTAAGTGGAAACGGTTTTAAACAAATATCATCAGGGGTAATTAGTGGCCTCCACAGTGGCGTCTAGCACAAATTAATAGCAATCCTCTGCAAACATGCACATTTAAAAGTTACATATTAGTTCTTGGTTAAGGCAGACAATCCAAAGAAAAAATGATTGGCTTCTTAAATATAAAAAAATCCATCTCTGTAGCAGTAAGGAGTGCTCTTTGGTGAGCACATTATTGCAAGTCAGCTCTACCTTTATTCTCCAGAACTGTCTAATCCCAGGATAATATTTATACACAGTGCTGTGCCACATTGACATTGGCGATGTGTAGGGGGTGCATGTGTACCCCCTGAGATTGGCCATGCACCCCCTGGAAGTGCCAGCTGCAAAACCAGAAGTGTCGGCGGAAGTGCATTTCTGGTCCGCCAGTTTCACCACTGGTGATTCTGAGCTCAGCAATCGGCCGCTGGGGGACCCACCCCCTCTGGTCGGTGATTGACTGCCGGCGGACCTCCCCCTGTTGGTGATTTGGTGCGCTACCCCGGACTCCAGAGGCACCTGTCACCCATGCACATTGATGTATTTTACATACAAAATAATTCCCATGTGTAGGTTGTGGTGAGGAGAAAATTGAGTAAACTTTTGATCCCAGATTGTCTTGTGTTTTATTTTATAAAATGTTGTGCACCAGTTCAGAAAGAAAGAGAAAGAGCACTTCCTCACCACCATGGCCCACATTCCCATGTATTATCAGCCTGCTGCTTCCTGCAGGGACTTTCTTTACCATGTTTTTTTCTCCTGGTGCTCCTTCTTTATCTCAGATTACTATTTCTGAGGGTACAGAAAATGTAATAAAGATTCAATTTTCATGAAGTTTCTTTTTCTTACTTCCTGAATTTCTGGGACTGCTGAGGGATGGAAACCTAAATTTGGGTTCTGCTTCTCTTTATTTCTTTATCATTGTAATCAATAATTGTCATTTATAGTAAAAAATAAAAATAAAAAGACTTATTCCTGCACTTGTAAACTGGAGAATATTAGGGTGCAGCTAGATGAGCACAGACGTGTGGTATGTGGTACCAGAGACACACCGGACATGCAGGCATACCCATGCACATGCAGGAGTTCTCTATGCAACTTATACTGCTGCTGCTTTGCAGCAGGGAGGAGATCCCAGGGTAAAAAAGAAACAGTGCCGGAAAAAAAACGGGGCGGCATATGTGGCTACAGTGCACACCACCCAAAACCATGCTCTGGCTGCAGCTAGGCTTCCGCCTGCAGAAATGCAGTGGCTGTAGCTCCTGGAGACTGCCACAATGCAGGTAAGGCTGCTGGGGCCAGCAAGTGTGCTGGCCCCACCTCCCCTACCTCACCCAGGGTAACCTGTCATGCACCAGAGCATGCATGGCATGGGCATTCCCATGGACAAATAGCAGCGGCACAAGGTATGCCACTGCTACTTGTCCCCAGGGAAACACACATTTCTGCTCGTCTGGACATCCCCTTAGAGTCCAGCACACTATGTTTCATACAGCAAATCCCAATTTTCAGACCACGTGTCTTCAAACTTAGAGTACTGAACTGGTATGGATCTTTGCCAGTATCTGAAACTCTGCAAATTCGTGAACCTTGTATGTGCTTGGGAGTATGTTGCAAATTACTGACTTGCTAGGATTCTTTTTTTGGGGGAGAAAGGGATTCATGAGCATTAAAAACACTGGGGTATAAAACTAGGGAATTAGAAACATTTTAACTGACAGATTGATAGTATGGCTGTGTGAAATGTCAATGGGTGTTTTGTTTCAAAGCTGTTTCGGCACATTTCAAGCTCAAAACAGCGAAAATGAAATGAAAGGCTTTGAAACAGCTTCGAAACAAAACGAGGGCATTCAAAACGTTTCAAAAGTTTTTAAATGTTTCACGTTTTGAAGCCGGTCTTGCTTGCAGCTAAACAGAAACTAAGGAGAGGGAGAAGGAAGAGGGGGGAAGGACTGCTTTGATATGGACATCTAGCTTCCAGTTCGATTCCCTAGCTCCCGGTATGATTCCCCAGCTCTCTGATCATTTCCCCAGCTTTTCCCAGGGGGTGTGGGCCCCCGATCTGTGCACAGGATTTCAGCAAGCTGCTGCTGCAGGCTGGGGCTGGTGGCTGCTGGTTGGCACAGCCCATGCTGAGTGCCAGGAAGACTGCAGTGCTGCTGCTGTTCATCAACAAAATGAAACAATAAACAATACATAGTATTTGATGGTATATAAAAATAAACAAAATGAAACAATATACTATAGTAAAATTAAAAAAGTTAAAAACAGGGAATTCTATTAATTTTGTCCCTTATTCTTTGTGTAAATAGTGCAAATACACCTAAGTAGTACAGGACAGGCTTTAAATTGTTAAAGAGGAGCCAAATACTTTTTTCTTAATTAGCCCAGTACTTATAATGTTCTGCTACTAGAAAGATCCATTTCTCTCTTATTTCTTCAAAGAACAGAAGAACACAAATAGTTATTCAGGTTATCTATCTCCTTCCTACAGGAACATGTCATGTCTAAAAATGGGATCCAATACCACCTCCCTATGATGACTGCAGATCCCATTAAAGTGAATCACAGTCTTGTAATGGCCTTTCCTTGTTTCATAGAAGCATAGAAAATTAGGGACGGAAGGGACCACAGGAGGCCAGCTAGTCCAACCCACTGCTCAACGCAGGACCACCCCCAACTAGACCATCCCACCCATGTTTGTAGTTTTCTACATCAGCTAGATAGGTTTCTAAGCCAAAAGTATGCTTTATTAATTTAAAAAAGGTGAAGTTCAAGAAAATATCACTGTCTGTATATCTGTCTGCCTGCTAATATCTTTCGTTCTTTAATTTATACCTTGCTTTAAATATGAGGGAAATACTGAGTCAGTAATTGTAAGCGCATTTTCCTGGTCATTTGCATGGAGATTATAAATGTTATTTAACCATCCAAATAAAGGTTTATGTGGAAAAGAAGAAGCTTCTAAAATGCACTTCTTAGGGTATCTGCTAGGGATACAAGTTCTATTTTTATCCAATAATTTAGAGTTTTTAATTGAGCTAAAGTGAACACATTAAACAGCTCTATTTCAGATTGCATGAGTTCCCATACTGCAGAGTTCGGCAGAGATACAAGCTACCTTAAAAAGTAAATAGAATTATTTCTCTATTCTGGAATGAACCTATAGTTCAGCTCCATGCAGTAAAGTGGACTCTATCTTAGATCTGTAGACCTTCTGTGCTGCCAGTACTGCCACTCTACCAGTCTTATTGAAATGGATAAAACTCCACCTGAGGCTTTTTTGCTTTAATGGTGATATTCCAGATCATGCGTTTATTCCAATGCATGTATTCCAGGTCACGTTTTTATTAAAAATAAATTTGGAGATACTTAATAGGCCTGTGTGAAGTAGCTAGTATTCGCTTCAGATTTGGCCGATTCGGGGAACAGCAATTCAATTTGGTGATTCGAATCACTGTCCTGAATCAATTTGGCCAAATGTGATTTGGAGATTTGGCTGCTGCCAAATCAGCTGAATCTCCAAATCACAGAGGCCCCATCCCCTGCCCACTCTCAATGGCTGCCCCTCCCGGCTCTCTGGGGAAAAGAAAACCCAGTCACCAGCTTCTGCCCACTGGGGAGGGGACTCACCAGCTGCTGCAGTGGCGTTGGGGCTTCTGGGGGCTCCTGGAAGAGCCCCCCATGTAGTGCAGGGTAGTGGGAGGCAACAGAGATTGCCCCTCACTGAGCAGAAGCTGGTGAGATGGGCCTTTTTTTTTTTTAAAGGGCCAGGAGCTGGTGCAGGCAGGGCAGCCATGGGGGTCTGGGACAGCAGGCAGGGGCCAGGAGACACTCGGGGCAGCTAGGGGAGCAGGCAGGAGTTGGGTCCTGGCAGGGTTTCCCCCATGTTCCCCTCCCTGCTCCTCCAGCCTCCCCTCCCCCAGCCCCTACTTACCAGCTCAGAGTCTGGGTCCAGCTACCTGCTGCAGTGGGTGGGGACTTCCTGAATCACCAAAGTTCTCTGAATCTTTTCTGAATCAGTTCAGAGAGCTTTGAATCAATTCAGACCTTTTAATTGGTCCCCTGATTCAATTCAGATTCAGAGATTCGGCCACCGAATCAGGCCAACTCTCCTCCGAATCTGATCAGCACCTGAAGCTTCACATAGCCCTAGTATTTAAATGAGCACAGCACTTCTGATTTCTTTTCTTGTAAAAGCCATATTCACTTCTTCCTTTTGTTTTCAAAACAAATACCTTGGATTTAGCAGTGTTGATTTCCAACATTTTTGAGACACAGTGGCCACGTCTACATAAGACGCTGAGTGTGCAATTGTTACTGTGCAGTCATTTAGTACTTGTTTAAACTTGTATAAACAAGTACTAAATGACTGTGCAGTAACCTGCGTTACTGCGCAATATTACTGATGAAAGGCTTTTTTGTGATGCTGACTGCACAGTAGCCTGAAACTACTGCACAGTAGCATCACATCATAGTTTCTACCACACAATGCTACTGCTCAGTAGTCTCACACTACTGCACAGCCAGTGTTTTGTCTAGACACAGCCAGTGTTGTTGAAAAGCATTTAATAACCTTTGGAGGCCTATCTGGGATTGTCACAGTAGTAGCCCATCACCTGCATAAAGCAAGAGAGGGATAAAATCATTGTGCGTAGAATTGATTCCAT